GCACCCACTAACAGCACTTCCGTCTTGTCTGGATTGAGTTTCAATTTATTAACCCTCATCCAGTCCATTATCAGGTCCAGACACGAGTTCAGCACAGAAACCGCATCACCTGGATTGGTGGAAAATGAGAGGTAGAGCTGAGTGTCATCAGCATATTGCTGACTCCTCAGCCCAAACCTCCTGATGACCTCTCCTAGCAGTTTCATGTAGATGTTAAACAGCATGGGGGACAGTATCAAGCCCTGAGGAACCCCATGACATAAATGCCATTCATCCCCCAGCACCACCCTCTGGACACGGTCAGCCAGGAAGGAGCAGAACCACCGTAAAACAGTGCCCCGAATTCCCAACCCAGCCAGCATATCCAGAAGGACACCATGGTCAATGGTGTCGGAAGCCGCTGAGAGGTCCAGGAGTATCAACAACAGCCAACCTTTTTGGTTTTCCAGATTTTATTAATAGTCAGAACTTGATAAATAAAAAACATATACTGTTTTCTCTACACTGTACCAAAAGAAATGCATTTTTATACTGTAGTCTGGAATCTTATCCCACTGAATGTGAGAATGACATTCCAGGCAGGAATGTATAGGGTTAGATTGTCAGTATTTTTTACTGTGTGCTATAGATCTCAGTCACAACTTTTAATTCAAAGCTAGATTTTTTTAAAGGTAGGTATTTATGTACAATTCATCCTCCCGCTATCATCATTTCATAATCACCCAGCTGGGAGATTTAGAAAACAAACTGATGCATTGTAATTTTCCAGACTTTGCAAGCTTAAATCAAAATGTAACACTTTCCTTAGAAACAAGCTACCAATTCTAATGCAGGCAAACAGAAAAAACTACTTTTTTTCACTTTCAACATCCACCACCAGATGATGCTGTTAAGCTAAATCTCAAGCATTTCAATTCAGGGAGGAAGGGCTAATTTAATTGTTTAATGTGAAAACAGGCTCTCCTTTTAATACATATGAACACAAACTCATAAATCCTTGTGACTACACTTAAGAAATATCTGTGGCACAGTTGATTAATGTAAGTTGTAAAACTAATCATACATCTAACAGGGTCATCAGCAGCTTAAAAACACAGCCCCTAAACAACAGGAACCCAAAGATACACAGTTCAAGACCTGACAATTCCTAACAGTGACCTACAAGCTTATTACTCTTTGGAAAATATTCAGATAGTAAGACTAATGTATTCAGGCACGAACAGCCACTAGTTATTGTATAGTCTAATGGTTGTGCAGTTAAATACATACTTGCAGATGTGGATCTATTTCAAATATTGTCTCTCCACGTCGCATATCCGTTATTAGCCATGGGCCTCCTGCTCTATAAACGCACCAAAACAACAAAATAAAACAAAAGTTAGCATTGATTACCACAGCTCCCAGATGTCTAGGTTTCCAAAGGTTTTAGCACAGATGCAGTAAGGACCACAAAGGAGAAAGAAATTTGGGATTATCAAGGAATCTTGAGTACATTTGCCTGTGTACTCAAGACCCAAGAGTTCAGGTATAGAAAAACGACATTTTATTGCAGAATGACTATACGGTTTGTTTTTGTACATTACAATGAATATATCACATACATCCAATATTTCACATGTCTGAGAGGTAAACTGCAGCTTAGAACAAGGAAACAGAAAAAATAGTAACATCAAGAAACAAAACTAGAGCCTATCAGCCTTAATAGCCTGAACCTGTATTTTCTAAACTTGCATTTTTCCTCCTTTTAAGAATCAACAAAGTGTAATTCACAAAGAATTTTTGTGTACAAATGTAGATATCGTATTCTATATCTGATACACCTGTTCAAATGGCTAGACTCTTAATTGCACTTTGCCAACCTTTGGTTTAGAGAATAGGAAGGACCCTCAACAGCCATATAATCCAACCAACTACCATGGCAGGATATCATGTGCAAACTAAAGGACCATTCTCCCTCAGATAATCCTCACAAAGAATTTCTTCTCATATTTTTAATCCCTATATAGCAGCATTAGAGAATAAGGACCCTCAACAGCCATATAATCCAACCAACTACCATGGCAGGCTATCATGTGCAACCTAAAGGGCCATTCTCCCTCAGATAATCCTCACAAAGAATTTCTTCTCATATTTTTAATCCCTATATAGCAGCAAGAACTTGCAATTACTACTGGAGTGAGGGTTTATTAACAAGTAGGTTCCTAGGACCAGTGGTTTAATTTTAAGCACAGAAGCTAAAACTGGCCAGACCATGTTTACATCAGACTGCATTTCTACATTATAAAAGTTTAAATGTATACTTCTATATTGAGAGATACAGGAATATTTTAAAGTTCTCACAATTTTCCTATTTGTTGTTGATGTGTTAAAATATTTCTCTGATACTGTTGCTAAAAGAATTAAATATATATCTTGGTTTATTTATACAGTCTTTCTTGGGACAATACTGAACCTGGCAAGGTAGCTTTCGTAACAAATACTTAAAAACCAAATCAATTAAAATATATCAAAAGTAGATAAAACAATACAGAATCAGAGGAGTCAAAAATTAATTAAGAGAAAATAAATGGAAAGCAAAGGCCTTCATCAACAGTAGAAATACACCTTGGGAAAGATGGTTTGGGGGGAGGTTATCACTTCTCCAAACCCCTCCCCCAGCATGGTTAGTGTCCACATGGCTGGAGGATTCTGGGATCTGGATTCCAAAAATCTGACTTTTCAAGGCTCTGTGTGGAACACTGGTAAAGTAAGAGAGAAACAAACCACTCGAGGCACGAGTTCCACAGTCTTGAATCACATCGGAATAGGTGTGCCAACCACAGCTCACAGGGAAAAATGCATGCATGTCTGTACCAAGCAGGCAGATTCATAGTGCAGGAGAATAATCTTTATCATGGTCCTAAAATGCCTTGAAGACTGGTTTTACTCAGCTCTCCCTTTGAAGATTTTTAGCAACACTACTTTTTGATAAACTTTGACCCAAACATTGTAAATCCAAGGAATACATTGTGAAATCAGAATAAGCCACACAGATAACCCAGTATCTAGTTCTGTAGCTCCAGCTACACTGTGGACTACAGCTGATTAAAGAGTTCCTTTTGTGATTTTGGGGTGTATGTGACTTCACATTATTGCATGTGAATTGTGTGCGCTCAAAGGTGAAAAGGGTACTCTTTAATTGGCAGCAAGCTGCTGGTGGTGGTGATGTTATTCCCATTGCCCAACTGGAGCAGCAATTTTATAATTTATTCATGTTGTAGAATTTGGGAGCATTAAAACAATGTCTGCATTTATCAGGTATTTTTTCTTCAGTGCTTACTACCCTGTTTCCAAGTCAGCTAGAGAGGCTGTACTTACACAGGAACTGTCCGAAGCAGTTCTAATATACCCTGTCCATTCCACTGCTGTGCAGCATGAAGCTCTTCTGTGCAGACCCCAACAATCTGGAGAAAGAGAGGAAAAGGGTCCAGCAGCCACATATAAAATGTGTTAGGATAAAGTCCTACACTGGAGACTATGTTGACAATGAACTAGGGGTGGGTACATCAGAAACTGGAATCAGCCCTTATATGTTCCCTGTTTGTGTAGCTCTTGATACCTCCAACCCCCTGAAAAAGATCTACATAAAAATGAAGAATTAATCTCTCACAATTTTCCAGGAAGTTTAATTTATCTTCAAATAACAGTGTGTAGTATGAAGGAAAAAAACAGGATTTTTTAAAAATTAGAAATGGACTTTAGATCACTTTTAGTTTTCTCAGGAGAGGACGATGTAGGCCATATTGGATACCAATGGATGAAATGTGGCCCCACACCCTCAGGTTCATTGAGTCTGCTGCAGACAGGAATGAATAAATACCTCAAACCTGGCTACTCTACAAAAACATCTCATTCACAGTTCTTAAAGAAATTTCAGCCTACTGCTCATGTATAACCCGCCAAAAACATATCTCTCTAGAACAGACATACTGTGGAGACAGGGATGATGCAGTTTTCATGCACAACCTTTTGGAATGCTGACTAGTGCACATACCCTTCTACAATTTTCTCACAGACGGTGTTTCTCTGCCTCTGATACTGGCTGTAGGCACACTGTAATTTGTTGTTTTGTTTAAATTAATGAGCAACATGTTGTTTTTGCCCTCCAACACTGGATTGGAAAATTCTACTGGGCAAAGGAAAGTAGAAAGAAGAAATTAAACAACTGAGACAAAAAGGTAAACTATGGCTCAGGGTATAGGGATTTGCCACATGTGGAACTTGTGGGGAAGGAAGGAAAGCACATGACTGTAAGCCTGCTGTTCACCTAATGCTAAACCATGATTTAACACTAACACCTGAGCCATTGAAAAGGCTTTGCATGATCAGAATGTGACTCTGGCTCCTGCCTTCGTTTCTTCTTCACCTCCTCTTACATGGCTATTCTTTTCTTCATTCCTAAGTTCTGTTACCATGTCTTAATGGATTTGGACAAACCTTCAAAACATAGAATTGATATTAAGAGTTTGAAGTGGGATTGCATGTCGAGGTTTGGAAGTTAGTCATGAAGCACATCTTTCTTTATTTGGATGTCATGGCAACTATAGGCAAAGAAAAACCAGGAACAGAGGAGAGAAAGGAAAGGAAGAAATGTGAGAGAGTCACTGGCATATACCTGGTCTTCTAGTCAGCACTTGTATATGTTACTACCTGCTGAGATGACTAATAATGACAAGAGCAGTTACACAAATCCTACTCATTTGTTTTGACAGGTTGAGCTTCACAACAGAACCAAAGGGATGAAGCAACACTCTGGCACCTGCAAACCTCTCCCTCAATTCAGTGAACAGATTATCTTGTTTGGAATAATATCCAATTGTGTACTGAGTGATGCATTTATTGGTGCAATGAAAGTCAATACATCATTTTGAAGTTAAGTAAGTTTCTAACTAGAGATGGGGGTGTTCATATACGAATATTCCCGCACAGGTGGAAATAACGTGTCCACTCACGGTTTCGCTGTCACTGTCAGCTCTGCAGATCCTTCCTATTGCACCGTCGTCCGCAATTGATTACCCACTCCTGGCAGGAGGCGGGATGACAAGCCTCTCTGCTAGGTCGCAGAGTAGCTAATCCACTGTGGAGAACAGCACAATAGGAAGGCTCTGCGGAGTCAGCGGCGAAATCGTGAGTGGACAGTTGTTATTTCCACCGTGCGGGGATATTTGTATTCCTACACGAATACCCCCATCTCTATTTCTAACACAATGCAACAGGAAAATGCCAAGCTAGGCCAGATCAGTAAACACCACCTGTCTTGCAGTTGTGCCTTTACCTGATTAACTTGGTTAGCCAAGACTTCTAAATGAACTAATTCATGCAAATTGTGCCATCCCTCTGTCTCTACAGTATGCCTGCTGGAGAGAAACATTATGTTACTGGATGGGTACATAATTTCTTTAAGAAGGTTGAAATTTCTCTAAGAACTGTGAAGTAAGTATTTATGTTGAAACTTGTTTTGTGTTTTTATGTATTTTTACAATAATTTCCACACAGAAATAACTTGAGAAGTCCTAAAAGAAATGTATAAATACCAGAAAATAAGCAGCTATTTAAATTATGGCGGGCAGGGGGCAGCCTTCAGTAGACTATAGCATACACTATGCTTCAACAGAACAGAAATCTTGTACTAAGCCGCTGATACTTGATTTTATAAATCTATTCCACATTTTTATTTATAGCAAACTTGTGCCGCCTTTAAGTTACTGTCATTTTAAAGAAAAATATGTCAATCCAACCATTTTGAAATATCTGAAAGCATGGAATACAAAGTTACTTTTGATTTGAGCAAATGTTGCAAGTTACGACCATTTGAAGAATAATACCTGTATAGTTGTTTTTTTTTTACTATACCTGAAGAAAAGTAATGACCCCAAATGGTGTTTGAACAGGCTGCATTTGTGGATCTTCAGTCAGCAACATATGCTGGATCCTAGATTCACTGTTGTCCAATGGACTGTGCCACGATACATGGTCACCACTACAAAATGTATTTTCTGTTGAGGGGGAAACAGAAGGTGAATAAAGAAAATTTTGAAGCAGAACTACCATATATTTCTACATGCTTCTAAAAAGCCAGTACAGCAGGAAGAATCAACTGCAGCTGTTAAAAGACCATCGTCGCTACCCAACTGCATATTAACTAAGAAAAGTGCACAACTCATTAAAAATGAAAATGATGCTTGCCAAAGCCATTCAAAAATCTAAAACATAGATTTCCAAGCTGAGATTTGTCATAACAGTTTTGGTCAATATAGGTCTTGAAGCAGGGTCAAATAAGTTCCACAGGTCTGGGAGCACGCATGCACACCCCCTGGAAATTATGCAGGCACCTTCAATTTAAAAATATATATATTCTGGCTCACAAATCTACCTCATTCTTTGGGAGCAGGGCCCTCTGTGATTTGATCCAGTTTTTTAAAATGGGGAGTAATCCAGAGTCTAAGTTAATTGCAGAGGTCATTTTAAAAACAGTTATATCAGGAAAAATAACAGTGCAATCACCAAAGCATTTCTGTATTTCAAACACCAGCAGGAAGCAATAATAATCACAAAAGATTTTTTAAAAGCATTTTAACAACAAATATGAATTGTATGTTGTTTTAAATTCTTCTCCATTTTAATGATTTGTGAGCCATTGTGAGTCCCACTGTTGGGAGAAAGGCAGCACAAAAGCACACCACAAAAAATAAAGAAGCAAACAAATTTAAATAGGTAAATCTGATTATTAAAAATATATATATTTTAAAAAATAATTGATTTTTATTCATTTTGCTTTGAGGTACTTGTTTCTTGTTCATAGGTCTAGAACAAAAAATAGAATAGTGATGTATGGGAGCAGTCAGATACAGAGCACATAGGTCTAGAGAATGCTTTAAAGGTTTACAATCTTGAGAAGAGAAAATGCACATACAAAAAGCAATGCTGCACTCATTAACATCCACAAAAGACATCCTATGTCTTTTATCTACTTTGCACAGTGAACCATTGGCATGGGAATAACTTGATGACACTGGCTTTCCAAGTATACGTTAAGTTACATCTACAGAATATCGGAGATGCATTCTCTTTTCTTCTGGAAATCCTCCATAGTGTTCAATGGCAGCCTCTCATTTTATAATAACCAAGCTAAAGCAACTTTGCCAGAGGGTTGGGTGTGAGGAACAGAAGTGCTGGCATAAGTAAAGGAAATCTCTTTTAGTTAGACAAGCAGATGTGGGAAATAAAATTATCAGATAAGAATTGGTTAACACTGTATAATATGAACTGTTTAGTCTAATCAGCTGTAGGAGGAGAGAGATAACAAGCCTTTACCAACCTGTGCAGACTTCATACGTATTTAAGGATTTTAGAGGGAAAGGATTTTAGAGGGAAAGCTCCTCCACAGAATTCCCCACAATTTCAAGTCCCAGTACCTCCTTGGTCAGACAGACAATCACCTATGTTTCTGATTATTAACTAAATGTTTTAATGATGCAAGCCACACAGTCACAGTTGCCCAGAATGGAACAAAGCCACAAAGGCCCTTATGGTCAAAGCCTGTCTTTTTGTCACAATATTCTGCATGTCAAATGCTCACTCAATTCTATGCTGATCGATCCCTGGTGTTCAGCTGCTCAGGCTTCTTCTCCTGGGAAATCCCAGCCATTTGGAGCTAGTTTTCAAATGCTAATGTCTCTGCTGGAGATCCACCTATTTGTTCCTATTTGAGTGGGGACCATTTTTAAAAAGTCTCTTTTCCTCATGCAAACCACAAAATTCACATTGACTGCTCAATTAAACTACAGAAAACCACCCATGTGAAAAATGATATGAAGGCCAATTTAAATCCCTTAGAACCAGTAAATCTAGTGTTAAACTTTGAAAGCCAGCCCTTGACTAACCATACACTGGCACGGAAGACCAACTTTTCTGTGAAGGTTCTAACAATACTTATACAACATTACAATCAATAGGACTCTTTATCACAAAACCAGAGTTTATGGACAAAACTCTGACACAGGATTATACCCTGGTATTAAGATAGCAAAATTACCACTTCTTCTATGTGTTCTAGCTAAATATCACTTTGCAACTTTAAAATCCAAAGTACTAACCAAATTCTGAACCTATGACTAATGCTGTGGATATTGTGGAGCAATACAGGAAGTAGAACGCAACAGGGACTCTGCATGTAGTAAGTTTAATGGATTTTGATACAGTCAGGGTATTTTGTTTGGGGGCCAGATGCAGGAGCAAGAGCAGGAGGAGTGCAAGTCAGCTGACACACAAGCGAGAGAAAAGGGAGAGTTCTTGTGCCATATACCATATGACCATATCACTCCTGCCTGGCTTCTTTTGAAGATATACAGTGGGGTCTCTACTTAAGAACTTAATCCGTATTGAAAGGTGGTTCTCAAGTTGAAAAGTTCTTATGTTGAATCTGCATTTCCCATAGGAATACATTGAAAACCATTTAATCCGTATCTGCTCTTTTCCGTCCATAGAAACTACAGTGGAACCTCTACTTAAGAACTTAATCCGTTTTGGAATGGTGTTCTTAAGTTGAAACGTTCTTAAGTTGAAGCAAAATTTCCCATAGGAATGGACTGAAAACCAATTAATCCGTTTTGGCTGTTTTTTTGTTATGTAGAGGTGTGTTCGTACATTGAAGCATTAGTTCCCATAGGAACTAATGCAAAGCTGGTTAATACGTACTCTACCACTAGGGGGAGAATTTTTTTTTAACCTAAGATGACCTAAGGTTAAAAAAAGAGCAGGAAAGGTTTTTTTTCCTGTTCTTATCTTGGATTTCTGTTCTCAAGTAGAAGCAAAATTTAGCAAATGGAGCTGTTCTTAAGTTGGATTGTTCTTAAGTAGGGACGTTCTTAAGTAGAGACCCCACTGTAGAAGAGAGAGATTGTTATAGTTGCCACTGCAGCAACAACCTCAACTACTACCATTAAGACAAAAAGCTTAGGGTGAATGTTCCAGTGTCTGCATTAAAACACACTTATTAACGTGCAACATTGGAAAATATGCTAGAAGCAAAAAAAAAAGTCTCACTAATACTTAAAGCACAAATTTCCATTCAAGCAACAAAGCTTACTGAGTGATCTTGATATTAAAATGCCTCAGCCTCAGTTTTCCAGAATTGTTGTGAGATTGGGGATGGGGTGGGATGCATAAATTATGGGTACTGGGATTCACATGACGAAAAGCTCCTCATCCGTAGAAATGATATCAAGCTAGTTTCCTGTGAAAGACCATGTGGCAGAATGGTACCTTCTATCACTTAAGTTCCCAACCAGCGGGCTGAAGGAACAAAGGTTTAACATTGCTTTGAAAAGTAGTCTCTTTTAACTCTACTGTTAAGAGAACTCAAGCTCTTAACAGTAGGAAGGTAGCAACCTGTTACTGTATTCCTTGTGTTTATGTATGAGCAGTTATGTCATACTGACATGAAAGGAAAGTATATATTTTATAAATTGAGTTTGAGACCCCTGCTTTAAGAGGAAGCCTTCCTCTTGGTCGCCCCATGCTCACAGGTGTACTTGATGGGGACACGGGAGAGGGCCTTCTCTGTTACTGCTCCCAGGCTCTGGAACTCCCTCCCATGGGAAGCTAGGCTGGCCCCATCTTTGTTGTCATCCCACAAGCAGGCAAAGACCTTTCTCTTCAGGCAGGCTTTCTCGTTATAACTGGTGCTTTGAGAGTGTTTTTTTAAATGGATTTTAAATGGTTTTAGTATTGATTTAATTACAGCTTTAAATATAACACGTTTAAAATTCTTTTTAAATACTTGTATACCTACTGTTTTCAGCTTTAAATATTTTTAAATGAGGTAAGCCACCTTGGGTTCTTCTTAAGGTGGCGTTGGTTGTCCGCTCCGCCTATTTCCACCTTTGGCGGATTGCTCAGCTGCGGCCCTATCTCGACACGGGGGCGCTCACTACCTTAGTACATGTGCTCGTAATCTCAAGATTAGATCACTGCAATGCGCTCTACGTGGGGCTACCTTTGAGGCTGATACGGAAACTTCAGATGGTGCAGAATGCAGCAGCCAGACTCCTTACCGGAGGGAGAAAATTCCATCACATTTCTCCTATCCTGGCTAGACTGCATTGGCTGCCCATTCGTTTCCGTATTGACTTCAAAGTTTTAATGCTCACTTATAAGGCCCTAAACGGTTTAGGCTCCTCGCCTTTGGAACAATCTCCCTCCTGAGATTCGCGCGGCCCCTACGCTGGGTACATTCAAAACTCAACTAAAAACATGGCTCTATGTCAAGGCCTTCCCTCCTGCCAGCACCTAATCTAACTTAATTTATTTTTCTCTTCCTTATCTATTTATTATTTACGATTATTTATGATTTTTGTCATTTTCTGTTAATTGATATTTTTAATTTATTTTATTATAATTGTATACATGTTCCTGTTAGCTGCTCAGAGTGGTATAGATTTACCAGATGAGTGGGATATCAATCAATCAATCAATCAATCAATCAATCAATCAATCAATCAATCAATCAATCAATCAATCAATCAAATAAATAAATAAATAAATAAAGGAGGAAGGCAAGATAAAAATATCTTAAATAAATAAATTAGTCTTTCAACCCCAGCAGGCTACACAAATGTTCCTATGTAGACAGTTAACTGGAGTTTAAATTAATGCCATAAAGAAAACTATTGTAATCCATTTTAAACCTCACTAAAGGAACATTGATCCTGCCATTGTTGAAGAGACATGGGTCTTCCTGCTACATTCTTCCCAGAAGTTTGGAAAGCGAAGCAACCCTATTATCAACTAAAACATTTAGGTAAATGTCACAGGCTAAAGGAGTAAAATTGTGATTTAAAAAAAAAGCACTGAGAAATAGCAGCCATATAATGTTTAGGTTGTACTTCCCCGAACAATACTTTGCATATCACTCTGCTCAAATCTTTAACAACAGAAAGTTTTCAAAAAACACAAGCAGTATGAAAACCATGTACTGTATTAGGTTTAAACTTCAAAGAGCCAATCCTATATAGGAAGAATAAACACATATAGATATGGATGCTGGTGTAAAAAATGCTAAGCAAGTTGGCAATCAAGCACCAGATATCTGACAAGCACCATTCATACATAAGGCTCTTCTAAAATATTCAGATACTTTGTAAAATATATCACTCCATAGCTGCAGAATGTATCACTTTGTGCTGCAGAAAGTATACTACTAGAATTCCTAGTTTTAGGGGGAGGATTTCTAGGACATTTCACATTTTCTCTACAACGTACATTTGAACCCATAAGCAAGGCCTTTCTCATCAGATTACTCATAAACATGTTCAAACTCACCCATAAGGTCAAACATAGGTTGCAGAAACAAAATAACATGTCATATAAATCCTCTCCCTAGATGAAGTACTGTTCTTAAATTACTATATTGTTCTAATCCATAAAATGAAAATCTGCAAGGCCTGCAATAAAAATAAATCATAATATGCAGCTTTGACAAACTGATTTTGCATTTTTAACCATCCTCATAAACTCTGATGACTATTTACAAAATCAAATTCACTAAGTGTACTAAAAAGCTGAGAAGCCAATGTCATTATCCATATGGGAAATGTAACATTCTAAAATGTGCTTTTGATTACATAATGTGGGTAATGTTTAGTGCATGTGTGTAAATTAATACCAGAAAAATATGACATGCTAGCATCAGTGCTTTAAGGATGCAAAGATATGGATACCTCTCCCAAAGAAGTTGGCTTAGTTGCTACATTTTTCAAACCTTAGTCATGGATCTACGATATCATCTTTATCTTGTTTTACTATATTTAATATATTTCATTTTACCACTTCGTCACACATAGCATTTAATAAAAATCAGATGAACCAGTTTATAAGTTTTTAATATCTAGATCATACTATATGATGACTCTTTTATCCCAGTGGGAATGGGTACCGTATATTTGATGCAGAAAAGTTAGAACAATTCTCACTTTCTTCTACATTTCTAACAGTTTGGTCAGTTATCATTATACAGTGCGGCAACATAACCAGCATGCATGAAAAACAGATATATTTCTTAAGCAACAAGTATAAATAAAAAACGTGACAAATGACTCTGTCTGGCTTAGGTGTCAAGAGAATTACAAACTCAAACCTGCAGACATCTTCATTTCACTCACCTATTTCACTCTTCTAGGCCTCATATTCTGCCCCAATACTTTGTGGGAAGTTACTCCAATGCTTTCTGGATATGGTAGCTCTTCAGGAGGGATCCTCTGATACATTACAAAAAGCAGTGAGACTACCACCTCCTAGAAGCTTTGAGGCAGGAAATAAGGTCAAGAAGAAGCCTAGAACAGACCCCTGTCTTTCTCCAGATGAGTGAAATAAAAGTGTCTGCAAGTGTGTATTTGTGGGCTGGAACTCCCAGATTTCTGGCTGGGGAATTCTGGGAGAATTCTGGGATTTGGAGTAAAAAGGCAGACAGACAGACAGACAGCATGTATATGGCCTTTCCAAACTGATTAATTCCAAACCCCCAAACAAGCATTGTGTCCAATATTTTGTCAGTGTCAATCAAGCTGTCAACAACCTTGTTGCTTTTAAAAATGTGATCAAGTCAGAGACCATCTCTCAGAAACTCTATCTAATATTTATTTATATAAAAAGAAATGCTGGAAGCGCTATCCAAAATGTATTTATAAAAATCCCAACATACTTCAGCCCAATGTACGTTCTAGGGCCTCCCTCAGAGGAGATTACAGTAGTCTGCAGAAAATACTATGATGAATGTATCTCATCACATGGAAGGTGACTTCCAGTTCTTTTATTCTCGCTTTTAAAAATCACAGCCACATAACATACATGTTGTCCCCTAAAACAAAAAACTGCAAGAAAGCTCTCCACACACATCACACACCAACATAAAGCAAACTATTTAAACAGTACCTGATTGGAAGACATATCTGGCTAAGCCTTGCATCAATTCTGCGGGCCATGTTGGTGGTGCAGATTCCCCTGTTTCACGCTTAAGTCTGAATGTCAATTCAAAGCCAAAGCCACTCGGTCCATCTGGGCCAGTAAACCTACAGGAAATTAACCATGAAAAGTATCACAACAAAGCACCAGAAACAAATACAATTGAAATGCTACTACATTGTTTACAATACAAAGAAATACATGCCTGCTCAAAAGTAACCATATTGGCAGAAATTCTGCTGCTTTGTTACGTGTGGAAGTCAAAGAATGTAACATCCAGTCATTTCTAACCGGCAATCAAGACGTTACTGCTGAGATTCCTTCACTGTGGGATTCTTGGTGTGTGTGTTACAGGTGAATTGTCAACCAGAAGTAACTAAATGTAACATTGTTTGCCCATGTATACCAAGGCAAGAGGATTTCAGCCACTGAGTTCAATGAGACTTACTCACAGGTAAATACATATAGAACTGAAACCTTATTTACCTTGTGAAAGGAAAACTATCAACAGGATATTGTAGTGTTTGCTTTAGTATATCTATTAAAACTTTGCTCAGGAGGAAGTGGTATCCTTCTTTTGCTGAGCATGTTCGAACTACAACTACGTTTGGTGCACAAAATAGCCAGACTGAGGCCCATATTTCCTATCCTATTCATATTTGCAGAATATATTTACTTTCACTCCCGGCTTTGCCAGCTATTGTATGCAATGAAATACACAGAGCAATTGCTTTAAAAAGGGGTGTGTGTGTGTTATTTTTTTTCACTGTAAGCAGAAGACAGGGCAATATTTATTTAGTCAATAGTCTTTAACACAGTTTCCAGTCAGCACATCCTACTGAACACAGTAGCTGTAAGCCGGTACTAAGTTGCAACATGTTAGGCCCACTCAATCAAAAGAATTTACAGAGGAGCTGACTCACCAATGATTCAATGGGCCTACTCTTAACTGCAACTTACTGCTGGATTTCAGCCACAAGGATTTACTTCTAATTAAACATACACAGGACTTCACTGTCACTGAATGTCTGAAAGAGTGTGTCTGTCTGTGTGTGGTAGCTATAATGGTAGAACCAAAGTCTGGTAGCCAATCCGATAGTAATCCTCAAAAAAACTGATACAATTATATCCATATCTGTTATGGATCCAACACAACTTTCACAATTTTTTCCAGCCTTCATGATTTTTTTTTACTCTTTACACTCGTCCCATCAAAGAAAGCTGCATGTATAAAATGTAGAAAAGTCACTGGACTGAAGTAGGTCCAGTGCCTCATTGCCAATTACTCTACTAACTGCCAAGAATACCCTGCCTGGAAACAAGGTAGCAAACACGTAGTCAACACATCCCTTGATGGTTTAGAAATTTTACTCTTACAGAAGCTCCCCATTCCCAGAACTCACAAAGCCACTCTAACCATTTACTGTATACTTCCTTCCTTCAAACCCTTCTACAAACTTAGTGCCTCCTTCTGTCTGGTCCTTTCCACAATCAGTTCAAGATATTCCAAATTCTGTGAAAATGTATTGAAAATGTGTGGGCTTGTTGGTGAAATGTGTAGGCTTTCTCTGTTTTGATGGAAATGCAAATTAGGCAGTTCATACCATTCTGTAACTGATCAACTGCACAAAGTACTGTTTCCATTGCTCTAAGTATAGTTTTGAGAGCATATGGAAACATTTCACAATCTTTATTGGTGAGATAAGGAATGTAGCAGTTCCTCATCCTCACATGTGAAAAAATTTTTTCCCTCACTAGAAGAAAAGCAGTACAGTACGTAAATGTACCTAACAATTAAAAAAAACACAACCAAATATCAATATGGAGACACAACTTTAGAGCTTTACTAGTGTTTAAAGCTGAAATCACATATGGACATGTTCCTCATCCTTACATGTGAGGACATAACTGGTTTCTCACTGCATAAAGTGAGACACAAATGTATCTAACAATTTTAAACAAGCCAAATATTAATATGAAAATAAAACTTAATAGTCTTACTGTACAATCACACATGCACTTACTTGAGAGCAATATCCATTGAATTCAATAGGATTTAGTTCTGTGGTGACATGTACAAGGCTTCAAAAGCTCTTTATTTATTTCTACTCTCTGCATCCTGACCTTTAACCAGCCCAGAAGAGGACCTCTTCTTTTATCCTATGACTGCTAAGAGACCTCTTTTGGATTGGCAACTGATTAAAAGAAAGGAAGATGAGAACAGGAATAAATGCAAATAGATTACAAGTAACTCTAAATAGGTATTTTCAAACTGGAGGAATGCACATTACAATGGGATGTGACAAGCACATGTGAAATGATGCTTACAGAGACAAAATCCTAAATTCACATACTGTATAGACTAGTATGATCTGACCACAACTAGGAAAAGGATCTGCTTGTTAGGGTGGAATGAAAATATTGACCCGAAATGCAGCACCAGCACAAAAGGCAATTTCCATTATGAGGATGAGTGCGAAAGAAAGCAGAATTCAAACTGCTAATGTCATAATGTTGACATTTATTTATTTTAAATATTTATATGCTGCCTTTCTCTTAAAAAGGATCAAAGGCAGACTATAATATTAAAAGAAACAATGTTAGAAGCTAAAATAATAAATTATTACAATATTTAAAAAAGAAGTAAACAAATTAATATTAAAACTAGTAGATAAAAACAGCAGTAAAAACACATTTTAAATAGTGTGACCACTCTTGGGATATATGCAATACACCTAAAAGTTATACTGTGTGGATCACTGGTTCCTAATCCTGGGTCCTCAAATGCTCTTGTCTACGACTCCCAGAAATCTGTCCAGAACAACTAGTAGTGAAAGCTTCTGAGAGCTTTAGTCCAAGAACATCTGGGCACCTGAGGTTGGGAACCACTAGTTCAAATGGAAAAAAGAAAGAAAACAGCAACTAAGATGGTTAAGGGAGTGAGTGGATCAACATCCCTTTGAGAAGAGATTACAACTTTGGAGGCTGTTTAATATGGCAAAAAGTCAAATAAAGCATGGAGGGGTATGATGGAAGTGTATATAGTTATGCAAAGAAAATAACCTGGGAAAGTTCTTTTTCTTTTTCACAAAGATAGAACAAAGGGTAACCTAATGAAAGTGAGTTGCATGAGACTCAGGCCAGACACTTCTCATGCTATATAGTGAAACTATGCAAGATGATCCTTCAAGATAGAATAATTTACCCAGGTCAAAAGGGATACCTGTGAACCAGTGGTTCTTAACGTGGGCGATAA